GGAATCCCTATCCTGTTTCATTGGTCTATATGCCTGTTTTTGTACCAATACCAGACTCTTTTGATTATTGTAGACTTATAGTAAAGTTTGAAGTCTGGTAGTGTGATGCCTCCTGCTTTGTTTCTTTTGTTAAGGATGGTTTTGGCTATTCATGGTCATTTATGTTTCTGCATGAATTTCTGTATTGTCATTTCCAGGTCTGAGAAGAATGATGTTGGTAATTTAATGGATATTGCGTTGAATTTGTAGATTGTCTTTGGTAGGACGAACATCTTAACAATGCTGATTCTTCCTATCTGTGAACATGGAATATTTTTCTATCAAAACCCTGGATGTCCATGCCATAAGAGATAAAATAGACAAGCGGGACCTTATTAAACCGAAAGGCTTCTGCAAAGCAAATGATCAAAAAAGTGGGGAGATAGCCCACAGAATGGGAAAAAAATATTTGCCAACTGTATATCTGACAAATGCCTAACATCCAGGATCTACAAGGAACTCAAGTGCGCCAAAAGGGGAAAAAAAGTCACATAAAAATGTGGTCAAAAGACATGCATAGGCTTTTTTTTGTGTGTGTTGGAGTCTCACCCTGTCTCTCAGGCTGGATTGCAGTGGCATGCTCATGGCCACCCCAGCATCAGCCTGCTGGGCTCTGGCGATCCTTCCACCTCAGTCTTCTAAATAGCTGGAATTATAGGTGTGTGCTATGGCACCCAGCTAATTTTTGATTTATTGTAGAGATGACCACCAAGTTACCTGAGCTGGTCTTGAACCCGCGGGGCTCAGGCAGTCCACTTGCCTTGGTCTCCCAAAGTGCTGGGATTACAGGCTGAACCACCACGCCCGACCGACACTTCTTAAAAGAACACATACGAGCATCCAACAGACATATGGAAAGATGCTCAACCTCATTAATTGTCAGAGAAATGCAAATCAAAACCACATTGAGATACCACCTAACCTCAGTAAGACTGGCCATCATTAATAAAACAAACAATAACATGCTGGCAAGGATGCCGACAAAAGGGAATGCTTCTCTACTGCTGGTAGGAATACAAACTAGTTCTATCTCTATGGAAAACAATGTGGTGATTTCTAAAAGAATTAGAAATTGTTCTTCTATATGACCCAGCAACCCCCCTCCTGAAGATATACCCAGAGGAACTCAAGTCATTCTACAAAAAAGATACCTGCACATGCATGTTTATAGCAGCACTATTCACAATAGCAAAAACATGACCATGCTGCAAGAACTAACCATGCTGCCCATCGAAACTGGGCTGAATTTTTTAAATGTGGTACATATACACGATGGAATATTACACAGCCATAAAGAAGGACAAACATATGGACTTCACCGCAACTTGGATGGATTTAGCTTCTATAATTCTAGTGATCTATCACAGAAACAAATAAGAGTACCATGTGTTCTCACTCATAAGTGGACCCTGAACATTTACCATAATATTATAAGAAAGGGATTGGCAGTAGTGGGATACTGCTGGGGTGGGGGAGGAAACAACATCAATAAGGGTACCTGATCTCATACCAGGCAAAATGGGGACCAAAGGGAGGCCCAAACTTTACCTGAACAATGTCCACTTGTATGCCTAATCCTGAATTGTACATCACACCTTTAAAATAAAATATATTTTTTAAAGAGAGAGGAAGCAAGAGAGAAAACTTCCCAATAACAACAAAAACAAAGCCCAGGGCAAGATGGCTTCACGGGGGAATTCTACCAAGCACTTAAAAAAGGATCAATGTCAGCCAGGCTTGGTGGCTCAGCCTGTAATCCTGTGCTTTGGGAGGCTGAGGTGAGTGGATTGCCTGAGCCTGTGGGTTCGAGACCCGCCTGGGCAACTTGGCGAGACCTCATCTCTACAATAAATCAAAAAATTAGCCGGGTGTGGTAGCGCGTGCCTGTAGTTCCAGCTACTTGGAAGGCTGAGGCGGAAGGATCACCGGAGCCCAGCAGGTCAAGGCTGTGGTGGCCAGGAGTGGCCACTGCACTCCAGTCTGGGTGACAGAGTGAGACTCCAACTAAAAAGAAAAACAAAAAAAGGATCAATGCCAATTCTTCTCAAACTCTTTTAAGATATGGAAGAGGAGAGAGCAATTTCAAGCAAAATGATGCCAGCATTATCCTTCTACCAAATCTGTCAATTTAGGACACTACAAAAAAAGAAAATTGCAGGCCAACCCCTGATGAGCATAGATGCAAAAATTCACAACAAAATGCAAGAAACCAAATTCAACAGCACATTAAAAGACTGATACATTCTGATCTAGTGGGATGCAAGGATGATTAAACGCAAGTCAACAAATATATCATATCACAAAAATGAGGACCAAAAAATATGATCATTTCAGCAGGTATAGGAAAAGCATTTGGGAAAACTCAACATCCTGTTCTGATTAAAAACACACTTAACAAATTAGGTAGTGAAGGAATGTACCTCAACATAGTAAAAGCTGTATGTACTAAGCCTACTGCTGCCATTACATTCAATAATTTTTTTTAAAAAGACTAAAATCAGGAAGAAGATGATGTTGTCCACTTTCACTACTTGTATTCAACATAGACTGGATGTCCTAGACAGAGCAACAAGGCAAGATAAAGAAATAAAAGCATCCAAATCAGAAAGAAGAAAGGACAACTGTCTGTGCTCACAGAGGGCTTGATTATATATTTTTAAAAATTGACACTACAGTAAATATATACATAAACCTAATAAATAAATTCAGTAAATCTGCAGGTTAGAAAATCAGCATACACTAACAACAAATTATTTGAAAAGAAATAAAACAATCTCATTAAAGTAGCATCAAAAAGAATAAAATACTTGGGAATAAATTTAAACAAAAAGGTGAAATAGCTATACCCTGAAAACTATAAGACATTGTTGAAATAAATTGCAGAAGACGCTAATAAAATTACTTTAAAAATCCTGTGTATGTGGGTCAGAATAATTAATATTATTTAAATGCCCATATTACCCAAAGTGATCTAGACATTCAATGCAATCCCTATAAAAATTTCAATGCCATTTTTTATAGAAATAAAAAACAATCCTAAAATAAGTATAAAACAACAAAGGATCCTAAATAGCCAAAGTAATCTTGAGAAAGCATAAAGCCGGCGGCATCACACTCATTTCAAACTACATTACAAAGCTATTGTAATCAATAAAGTGTGGTACTAGGATAAAAAGACGTATACATCAGTGGAACAGAATCAAGAGTCCAAAAACAAACCCACACTTCCATGGTCACCAACATTGACAAGGGCACCAAGTAAGCACAATGGGGAAAAGATAGTCTCTTTAAAAAATGATGTTGAAAAAACTAGACATCCACAAGAAAAATAATGAAACTAAATCTTTATCTTACACAATGCGGAAGACAACTCAAAATGGATTAAAGATTTAAATGGAAGAGATCAAACCACAGAACTGCTAGGAAAAAAAAAATAGGGAAAAGTTCCTTGGCATCATTCTTGACAATGAATTTTTTTGGATATGACACCAAAAGCTCAGGTAACAAAAACATAAACAAAGAGAGATTGTTGCTACATCAAACTAAAACATCTTCTCAGCAAAGAAAACAGAAAACAAAATGAGAAGGCAACCTACCGAATGAGAGAATATACTTGCAAGTCATTCTCTGGTAACAGATTGATTTCCAAAATACATCAGGAGCTCACACAACTCAAATCAAAATCCAAATAATCTGATTAAAAGTAGATAAAGAATCTTGATAGACATTTTTTTCAAAGAAGACATTAAAATGACCACCTGGCACATGAAAAATGCTCAACATCACTAATTGTGAGGAAAATGTAAATGAAACACCACAGTAAGTTATCAACTTACACCTATTGGAATAACTATTAACAAAAAGTCAAAAGAGAACTAGTGTTGGTGGCCTTGTAGAGAAAAGGGAATAATGTTGGCAGGAATATAAATATTATGGGAAATTGTACAGAGGTTCCCCCCAAATTAAAAATAGGACTGCCATGTGATCCAGGAATTCTACTTCTGGGCATATATCTGAAGGCAACCAAATTAGTATTTTGAAGAGATCTGCATTTCCATGTTGATTACAGCATAATTCACAATAGCTAAGATATGGAAGAACCTAAGTGCTCACCATGAAATTAGTGCATTAAAAAATGTGATACACAAACACACATACATAGAATATTATTAGTCACAAAAGAAAAAGAAGGAAAATCACCCTCATAGAGCAGAGAGATGACAGAGTCCCTTTTATTAGGGTTGATGTCTGCAGCCAATGTCATCCAGAGACCCTAAAACTGAGTTTTGAAAGGCTGTTTCAGGAGAGAATGAAACATCAACATTTTATGACTTGGTGGCCCACCTGAAGAAATTCCATGTTTCCCATTAAAAAAATCTAGAAAATGGATGATGATACACAGTGGGGGAAGTGGGAAAGGGATATGTCCGAGGAGTCTTCTCATGCCAGTGGTCACCTATTTCATATTCAAACTTTCAATGCCAGCTTAACCCATAATGAATGAGCCATCAGACTAAAATGCAGCTTTATCCTCCTGAGTCACCTTAAACAATCAGTGGTCAACAGGAATCATCATCACACAGGAGCAGATACGATGTGTGATGGGAAATGAGACTGAAGCCAATAGTGACCAGAGGCAGAATGTCACATGACAGCCTTTCATGAGGAAGTAAAAGCAAGAAAGACATACAGATGACTTGGGGAAGAGCTGACCTGTGGATCCCAAAGCATCAGGGAAAGGAAATAGTGTTTTCCATCCATGTTCACAAATTTAACAGGAAAACAAAGTAGCCTAATTTGATAATTGCCTACTTACTAGGACAAACAATAACAAGGAAAGATTGCAGCATCTGATGGCAGCAGCTCTCAGCAGGGTATAAAAAGGGACGGGGGCAAGGAGACTTCCATACCTTCCAAACCCACCTTCCTGGAAACCCACAGAACCTCCACCCTCTGACACCATGTGCAACTCCTGTTGTGGGTCCGTCTGCTCTGACCAGGGCTGTGGCCAGGAGACCTGTTGCAGGACCACCTGCTGCCGCCCCAGCTGCTGCATCTCCAGCTGCTGCAGGCCCCTGTGCTGCCAGCCCACCTGCTGCCAGCCCACCTGCTGCCGCCCTTCCTGCTGCATCTCTAGCTGCTGCAGCCCCAGCTGCTGCCAGACCACCTGCTGCAGGACCACCTGCTGCCGCCCCAGCTGCTGCATCTCCAGCTGCTGCAGGCCCCAGTGCTGCCAGTCCACCTGCTGCCGCCCTTCCTGCTGCATCTCTAGCTGCTGCCGCCCCAGCTGCAACCAGACCACCTGCTGCAGGACCCAGTGCTGCCGCCCCAGCTGCTGCGTGTCTACCTGCTGCAGGCCCCAGTGCTGCCAGTCCGTGTGCTGCCAGCCCACCTGCTGCCGCCCCAGTTGCTGCATCTCCAGCTGCTGCCGTCCCTCATGCTGTGGTTCCAGCTGCTGTAGACCCCCCTGCTGCATCTCCAGTTGCTGTCGTCCCAGCTGCTGCCAGACCACCTGCTGTAGAACTCAGTGCTTCCGCCCTTGCTGCTGTGTGTCCAGCTGCCGCCCCAGCTGCTGCCAGATCTCCTGCTGCCGCCCAATCTGCTCTAGTAGTTCTTGTTGCTGAGGTGCTGACCTGTTTTTACCTGGTCCCCATCAGGCAACATTCTTGCTGTATTCCATATATGAGCTGAATCACCTGAAGCTAATCAGAAAACTTCAGGTCAAGTAATTCTTAGACTTAGGTTTGCAACCAAATACTCTGCACCCCCAGTCATGTTGCTTTCCCTTTAGCAAAGTAATACAAGTTTGAATGTTCTCTGAAATCTGTCAACTGCCATCTCACTCCAACTGTACTATTTGTCTCTTCCACAACCACAGATGGAAATATTCCTCCTTCTTAAATAAATCTTAATTTTCCAGGCATACAAATACACAGCCATCATGTCTCATTATTCTTCTTGAATTCTCCTTACCTGTCAATTTTTCTGCCATCCTGCTCTGCAGAGGGAGAAGATGACAGTAGATGGTTTCAGGTCTCCACCACCTCCATTCTCTCATACTCCTCATTTTAACACAGGAAGATGGTTTTTTAGAGGAAGCACCTGGAACTCTCTGCCTGAGAATTTTCTCTGAATAAAGCAGTGAACTCTGGGCTGGAGAGTTAAAGCCTCCAGCAGCACCACCCAACTGAGTGGGAATTGTTGAATGCATGCCATAGCTTACCTCCCATCCAGTGGGTGGGGGCGGAGCGGATGTCTTCCAGGTCCTCAGTGGGATTGAACCTAGTTGCCTACAGGATATTCAGCTCATTAACTCATTCTACAATCACTTCCTTCCCTCCTTTTGATCATTTCCCAAGTTCTCCAAATATATTACTTACTCTCAAACTCCTGCTTCTGGGTCTACCCCAGAAAGCATCCAACCAAAAACACATTCCTAATTTCAGTGTGAGTGTCTTTCAAAATATTTTTTATGCGATGTTGAATGGTTACCACAGTGGAAGGTCAACTCTTGAGGGTACTATCTTCTGAACATTTTGCTGTTTCTTCTTTTCAATTTTTGCACGGTTGTTTTTAGATTTGTTGTTGTTAATCTTTTTTTTTTTTCCTTCCACATTATATCTTGGGGCTAGGGCCAACTCTCATGTTAATAGCTCTCATTCTACAAGAACCTGTGTTTAAGGAGTGTGCTAAGTTGGATTCACTGTAAGCAGAACCTGAAATGAGTGCACACGTGCCTTATAAGGAAGTGCTTTCTGAAGCATTTTCTGAAGACTTATGAGGAAGTCTGTAAGAAACTGTGGGAAGCAAGATAGGATGAAAGCAGAAGCCAGCCAAAATGCTGTTTCAGTTTACTTTTATTCTCATCTAACACCAGAGGAAACTGTAAAGTGAAAATGGTGTCACAGGTCTCCCTCTCTTGTTCCCAAGGGCCACTGGAGCGAAAGCCTCAGTTCTTTGTCGTCTGTTAAATAGAGATGGTCATCAATTTTTTGCCACATGGTTCTCTGCCTCACAGCAGTTTCATCAAAGCCAGTGAGAGAGGGCGAGGGAGAGGGAGGGAGACAGGGAGAAGGAGGGATAAAGAGAGAGAGAGAGAGAAAAAGTAGGTCTAAGAAAATGGGTCTCAAGTTTGGTTGCCCTTTAGAATTACATGAGGTACTTTAAAAAATTCTGATGCCCAAGCCATACTGCTAACCCATAAAATCAGAATATTTGGGGCAAGAGCCAAGCATGAGTAGTTAACACTCTCAAGGTGAATACTAGATTCAGTCAACTTTAAGAACACCTGGAGGAGGGGCTTTGATTGTCTAAACATTTCTTTACCAAGTAAATATACTCTGTCTTTGTAGCTGTGGGGATAGGGTTTCCTTAATCTCTATAAATTTATACAGAAACCTCTCTTCTTATTATCAAAAACTTTTTATTTTAGGTGGTTTTTTTTTTCATTTATCCACACATCTTATATACAACAAATCAAGTGAGCATCTTCCCCTCAGGATGCCATGTAGCCTCACAGTAGCATTATATAAAGCTTTCATGTCTCCAGCTTTGTAAACACAAGCCTATAAACTAAAAAGGTGTAAATCAAGTCTTTGTTAAGCAAATGGATGTGACAAAAATATTGCAAGGAGATTGTTCTTTAATGATCTTACTTAAGACATTTAAGGATATCATCATAGCGCAAGCAACTCTGTTTTTCTGGGTCTTCCCCGATATTAGTAATGAAAGCCCTGAGTTCTGGGAACTCTTTCATTCCTGGCAATCAGGGAAATTTGGTCACCCTACCATGACATTGGTTGGTAATAGGTAAAATGAAGCCTTGGCATTCATTACTATTGCTCTGAGTGAATTAATGATATATTTGTCAAATCAGTAACTCTCAGTGACATATGCTAAACAATGCCAGACAGAGGGGTGTGTGTGTGTGTGTGTGTGTGTGTGTGTGTGTGTGTGTGTGTGATATGTATCATTTGTTTAACTTTTCAGATCAAAACTAATCTATGGTGAAAAGTATTAGCACTGTGACTTTCTTATTAAGGTGGGGAGTTTATTGATCTAGGAACTTTCAGATATCATGAAAATAGTCTCTATCTTGCTAGGTGTGGGAGTACATGAATACATCCATTTACCAAAACTCATCAAATAGTATACTCAGGATTTGTGAATTTCAGGGCTTGTAACTGCTACAAAATCTTAAAAAGTAAGAAAACTGACCAGAAATGTCTATGCATGAATACATCTACCACCGTGTCACATTAGCTAATTTACTCCAAGCTCAATTTTTTAAAATTTCACTTTATTTATTTAAAGAGATGCAATTTGTCTATGTTGCCCATCTCACTGGAATTATATATCAGTTGACCAATTTCCTCAAGCCTCTCCTGTTCCCTAACAACCCAAGCCTCTGGCAACACCATTCTCCTCTCAACTTCTATGAGAGCGACTATTGTAGATTTCACATATGAGCGATACCATGCAGGACTTGCCCCTCTATGCCTATTTCAACTAAATGTGATGTCCTCCAGGTTTATCCATGTTGTTGTAAATATTAAAAATATTTTCAATTCCTGAGCCCACGGGTTCGAGACTCGCCTGGGCAACTTGGCGAGACCTCATCTCTACAATAAATCAAAAATTAGCCGGGTGTGGTAGCACGCGCCTGTAGTTCCAGCTACCTGGAAGGCTGAGGCGGACGGATCGCCTGAGCCCAGCAGGTCGAGGCTGTGGTGGCTGGGAGCGGCCACTGCACTCCAGCCTGGGTGACAGAGTGAGACTCCAACTCAAAAAAAATACACACACACACACACACACACAGACACACATATATATATTTTTTCAATTAAGATTGAGATAAAGAGTAAAAATGAAGCTACGTCTTCCAGAATCTAAGAGACCAGCTGGAGAGACATGATACAAAAACATATGACAGCAAAGTAGCAACCGAGGAACCTGTGACCTAGTAGTGACACCAACCACATAGGACACTTACCTGCTAGGGTTTGGGGGTGTAGGGCATGACCCAAAGCTTGAAACAAGCAGGGGAATCCATTTGAGTGATGGAGAGGTCACCAAGGTCACACACTCAGAGTTGTCTTCTTCCTCATTGCTCAAAAATGACCTCAGATACAGGACTTTTTCCTTTTCTTCCATGCCAAATGCCACACTGAGCAGATGAGCATGCCAATGTTGCTCTTACCTCATCATTACTAATTAGTGAAATGGTTTATGCATATTTATGTATCTTTTCCTGCCCCACAAAAGAGGTCATGGTCTCAGAGACCCTTGCAATTAAAACACTAAACTGGCATCCATCAATGAGATTTTTATCCAAACCAGACTTGAGTCTTGTAGTAGAAATAGGAAAATAATTAAGAAAAGTCATCTTGAAACCTAACACACATAACATGAAACCTATGGATTGCAACTGCTACCAACAAAAAATCCTCTAAATGGTATTCCATGAATTGACTTAAACCAACTTAATGAGAGGAAATTCTGTGTAGAGTACTTTAGAAATTTACAGCATTGAGGTTGGATTTGTCTGTATTGAATACAAACTATGATCTTAAACATGTCACTTAAACTATTTCATCCTAAGATTGATTTTCTGTAAAGAAAGATTCACAATACCCACCTATGAGATTGCCCTAAGAATACAGTGAGAGAAAGATGCCTGGGAGACAAATAAAAGCATGGTTTCTTTGACCTCCAATAAGTCTCAGTGGGTTTTTTAAAATATTTAATTTTGAAATGACTATAGGTTAACAGGAAGCTGAATAAAAGAAAGTACGATGAAGTGTCATGTACTCTTCACACAGTCTCCCCCAACTGGCACCCTCCTCCGTGACTATAGTACATGCCAAATCCCAGAAATTGACATTGGAACAATCCACAGAACTGGTTCTGATTTTACCAGTATTATATGCCGTGGTGTGCATGCATGTGTGCACATGTGTGTTTATGTGTAGTTCTGTCCTTTTATCGTGTGTACAGACTTATGTAACCATCATTACAATCGAGGTTCGGGACAGTTCTGTCTCCCTAAAGCCACATTCACTTCCTCCCACTCATCATCCCCCAACCCTGTCATTCACCATTCTGTTCTCCATCTCTATAATTATATCACACAAATGCTCTCTGTATATGGAATCTTATATTATGTAATCTTTGGCTATTGGCTTTTTCCACTCAACATAATTCCCTTGATATTATACAAGTTATTAAGTGTATCATGAATGTGTTCTTTTTCATGTCTGAGAATTATCGCATGACATGGATACAGCATCATTTGGTTTATTCAACCATTTACCAGTTGAAAGTCATTTAGCTGTTTCAAGATTAGATTTGTTTGTTTATTTATTTAGAAAAATGCATTAAGTCTTCCTACCTGTGGGTGCAATTTGCCACTTCTCAGTTACAAGACATGTTGTTGAATTGTAGTATTCATGAATTTAATAAATTTATTTTTATTTTCTCTAGTTCCTGGTTTTGGTGTTTTTAAAAGTTTCACAGTAAACCTATCTATTTCCTTCCTGGGCTAAAGAGGTCTGTTATTTTAGTCTTTTTCACAAGGGTATCACTCTTTTCTTCTGAAAATCTAAATGCAATTTTTGGGCTAATCACCTGCTTATGTCTCAGTTAATTTTGAAAAACAGAAAGGCTCAAAACAGGTACTCATATTGTTAGAAGCATAGAAATGCGTGTTGCATTTATTTCTGTGGTCTACCTACTATGCTGAACATTTAGAGGACACTGGTGGATTTAGCACTAACCTGGTAATATAACTTTAGGGAAGAATTATTTTACAAGGGTTTATATCACTCTCTTAAGTCACAACTTATGTAAGGCAGGATTATCTTTTTAGCATTTGTGGCTAAGTATTTTATTTTAAATTGTATCCTTCTTGAGAGAAGGGTAGAGGAATGACTATTATATCTTATAAGAGTGAATACTCTTAAAAATGTGATTTTACATGAGGACACTTGAGGACAACTATAAATTTTAAAATATAAGCATCAACAGAGATAGGAAGAATAGGGAAGAACAACAAGGGAGATGTATAATCTATGGGTTCATAAATAGGAAGTCAAACTATAGACTCCTTTTTTTATTTTGTTTTTTTATTTTAAAGAGGTTTATTCTAAGAATAAAAATAAAAGAAGAGGTTTATTCTGAGTAAATATGAGTGATCATGGTCTGGGGAAACAAACCCAAGAAGCCTTGAGTAAGTGGTCCTGAGGCATCAGATTACACTTTGGTTTTATACATTTTAGGGAGGCAGGAATGACAGGCAAAGTCATAAATCAGTACATGTAGGTTATACATTTATTTGCATCCCAGAGGTGGGATATCTTGTCCTGGGGGCTTACGGGTCATATGTGGGTTCAGAGATTCTTTAATTTGCAAACTATAGACTTCCAATCCAGTGATTTTCAGACAGTAAAGCTGGCTCCTGAATCAACTTCAGAAATACACCTCAAAGACCAGAGAATTTAATTAAATCATAAGGGTGGTGATCGAAAAGCTGTATGGGAGGTAAAGTATTTTAAAAAATTATATAGGACAGCTAGCTACCTTCAGGAATAAACAAATAACAAATAGAAGAGAGAAAGGAAGAATAAACACAAAAACTGAAGGAAGAAAGGAAGGAAGGAAAAATGGAAAGAAAGAAGAAATGTTTTCATTCATTAAACATTTATATTACACTAAGTGAAATAAGCCAGATGGAGAAAGACAAATACTGGGTGATCTCACTTATAGGTGGAATCTGAGAAAGTTGAACTCTAGAAATGGAGGGTGGCATCATGGTTGGCAAAGACCAGGGTGGAGAAACGGGGATGGTCAAAGAGTCCAAACTCAGTTACAAGAGGAGTAAGTTCCAGGGTCTGATGTGTAGCATGTGACTATAGTTAATAATACCATATCGCATACTTGGAAGAGTAGATCTTAAAAGTTCTCACTACACACAAGAAATGATCTTAAAAGATCTACTCTGGAAGATCTTTTAAGTTAAAAGTTCTCACCACACACAAGAAATGGTAACCGTGTGTGGTACTAACTTGATTGTGGTCATCATTTAACAATACATGCATATATCAAAGCATTACCTTATACACCTTAAATAAATACATGCAACTTTATTTCTCAGTTATACTTCTATAAATCTGGAAATGGAAATTGTTAAAGTACTAAAAGAAATCATGAGAGATTTCCAAACATAATCTAAATTTACACGGAACAAAACTCACACATCATGAAGAGAAAAAAAGTCACGTAATATAAAGACACGTGATCTCTGCTAGTCTTTAGTAGGCACCAGTGTGAGGGCTCTTTGTGGACAGACACTATGCTCTTCCAGAAACAAGATCTTCCAGAATTCTGAGAGCTGTTCTCAACATGACGGTAGGGCTCACCAGCATCCTTGCCTTGGGGCTCAGGCAATTCTCTCACCTCCACCTACCAATAATCAGGGCCAAGACAGGAGCGGAAACTGTCTAGGAACAAAAGAGCATCACAACACCATAATTCATAACAAGGGTCAGCAAGAAAAACTGGGACACAGAGGAAATGGGTCCATGTGCCCTGTTAATTCCGAAAAGACAGGAAGGCAAAATCAGGAGGAATATAAGCCCTACAGAGGAGAGAGATGTATTAGACTTACTGTCCCTGAGGGCAGAAAGGGAATCGCAGAGCCCTTTCATCCAGTGCCCTCCGTCTGGTTCTTGAATCTTCCTCAGTAACACCAGTTCACACTGAGCCCTGCCCTCATGTCTATGGAGATGGCTCATCCACAAAACATCTTAACCATGTTGAGTCAGGCTTTGTTTTCCACCTCCTTTCTTGGGTTTCTTGGTGGGGTGGGGCAATTTACACACACACATATGTATCCCCACTGTGAAAAAATATAGGTTGGTGCCCTTTTATTTTGATATCTGTGTTCTATCATTCTATTTTTATTTATTTATTTATTTATTGAAAATAAAATCCTAGAAGGGTCTGGGTATTGGTAATGCTGTAATCCCAGCATTTTGGGAGGTGGAGGTGAGAGAATTGCCTGAGCCAGAGGTTCGAGACCAGCCTGGGTAACATAGTGAGACCTCATCTCCACAAAAATTTAAAAAATTAGCAGGGTGTGGTGATGTGCACCCATAGCTCCAGCTACTTGAAAGGCTGAGGCAGAAGGATTGCTTGAACAAGAAGTCAATGTTATGGAGGTTGTGAGCATGCCACTGCCCTCCGGCCTGGGTGATAGAGGGAGACTCTGACAAAAAAAATAGAAAGAAAGAAGGAGGGAGGGAGGGAGGAAGGGAAGAGAAGGGAAGGGAAAGGAAAGGGAAGAAAAAAGAAAGAAAGAAAGAAAGAAAGAAAGAAAGAAAGAAAGAAAGAAAGAAAGAAAGAAAGAAAGAAAGAAAGGAAGGAAGGAAGGAAGGAAATTTTAAAAACCTAAAGCATGAAATCAGACCAAAAACTTGAATAATGAAATAGTAGATCTAGGGTATCTTTGTGTCCAGCAACTTAACAGAGGAAGAAAGAAAGTCGAGAGTGAATCACAACAAGACAAGGACAATGGGTCATCTAACAAGGGACAGCAAGAAAAACTTTGACTCAGAGGAAATGAGTCCATGTGTCCTGCTAATTCTGAAAAGACAGAAAGGCAAAGTCAGGAGGAAAATAACGCCACACAGGAGAGAGAAGAACCTGAAATTTTTAAATAGAGCTCAGTTCTGCAATGTTCCCCAAGAGAACCTAAAATCCGTTTCAAAAGAAGGTTTCTCCAGAAAAAGAAACCTCAACATTCCACGACTTAGTGGTCAAACTTGAAGCTTAGTAGTCCAACTGAGTTTCCCATCCAAGTCTAGAAAATGAGTCCTTATTCACACTAGGGAAGGGCTATGTCCTGAGACTTTAGGTTCCCATGCAAGTGGTCACCTGTTTAGCATTCAAACCTTCACTGCCAGCTTGACCCATAATGAATTAGCCATCAGATTAAAATACAGCTTTATCCTCCTGAGTCACCTAAAACAAACAGTGGCCAACAGGAATTATCATCACTCAGGAGCAGACATGATGTGTGATGGGAAATGAGACTGAAGCCAATAGTGCCCAGAGGCAGAATGTCACGTGACAGCCCTCCGTGAGGAAGCTAAAGCAAGAAAGAAACACACAGGAGACTTGGGGAAGAGCTGGCACGTGAATCCCAGTGAATCAGGGAAAGAAATAATCTTTCCCACTCATGTTCACAAATTTAACAAGAAAACAAATTAGCCTAATTTGATAATTGCCTACTTACTAGGACAAACAATAACAAGGAAACTGCAGCACCTGATGGCAGCAGCCCTCAGCAGGGTATAAAAGGAGAATGGGGCAAGGAGACCTCTACACATTTCAAACCCACCTTCCCAGAAATCCACAGAACCTCCACCCTCTGACACCATGTGCAACTCCTGTTGTGGATCCGTCTGCTCAGACCAAGGCTGTGGACAGGAGACCTGCTGCCGCCCCAGCTGCTGTGTGTCCAGCTGCTGCAGGCCCCAGTGCTGCCAGTCTGTGTGTTGCCAGCCCACATGCTGCCGCCCTTCCTGCTGCATCTCTAGCTGCTGCCGCCCCAGCTGCTGTGTGTCCAGCTGCTGCAGGCCCCAGTGCTGCCAATCCACCTGCTGCAAGCCCACTTGCTGCCGCCCTTCCTGCTGCATCTCTAGCTGCTGCCGCCCGAGCTGCTGTGTGTCCAGCTGCTGCAGGCCCCAGTGCTGCCAGTCAGTGTGCTGCCAGCCCACATGCTGCCGCCCTTCCTGCTGCATCTCTAGCTGCTGCCGCCCCAGCTGCTGTGTGTCCAGCTGCTGCAGGCCCCAGTGCTGCCAATCCACCTGCTGCCAGCCCACCTGCTGCCGCCCTTCCTGCTGCATTTCCAGCTGCTGCCGGCCCAGCTGCTGTGTGTCCAGCTGCTGCAAGCCCCAGTGCTGCCAGTCCACCTGCTGCCAGCCCACCTGCTGCCGTCCCAGCTGCTGCCTCCCCAACTGCTGCCAGACCACCTGCTGCAGAACAACCTGCTTCCGCCCCAGCTGCTGTGGCAGTTCTTGCTGCTGAGTGTCCTGCCCTGGACCCATGAACCTTCTTGTCCTCATCCTCTTGTCTAGGCAAAGGACATCTATTCAAAGAGCATGTGAGCTTCCCAATGTGATGAACTTACAAACAGACCCACAGATTGACTTAGGATACCCCAGTCTCTATGTTATTTTTACTTTGTTATAGAAACTATTTATTATTAGGGAATCCTAGTTTACAGTCTGATACTGTATCAGATTGTTTCAGAATTTCTTATTCGGGTTCAAAATACATAAATTGTTAAATGTTTCTCTTCTAAATTTCTTCTTCCCATTGCATTTCTGTGGAATCCATTTTAATGTGGGATTACTTGATGTTCCTCAATAAAACTTCTTAGCATTCAAACCACACTGAAGTTGCTGCTGTCTTATTATTACTTATTAGTGAAATGGTCTATGCATATTTATGTGTTTTTTCTGTACCACTGAAGGTCATGTTCTCAGAGTCCCTACAATTAAAACACTAAGTTGACATCCATCAATGAGGTCTTTTGTTTTGTTTTGTTTGAGTTGGAGTCCTAACCTTGTTGTCCAGGCCATAGTGCAGAGGCACACTCATGGCTACTACAGCCTTGACCTGCTGGGCTCAGGTGATCCTTCAGTCTCAACCTTTCAAGTAGCTGGAACTACAGGCATGCACCACCATGCCCAGCTAATTTTTTGATTTATTGTGGAGATGAGGTCTCACCAAGTTG